GCGGGTAGTAAGGCTACATAATCAAATGCAGAGGTGTTTCATATGTAGGGGGTATTACAGACTAAATGAGTAGGAAGAGGCAGACAGGAGACTTGCCTTAGTTATTATTTTATTGCAGTAAAGAGATGCCATGATCAAGGAAACTTGTAGAAGGAAGCACTTAATTGGTGGCTTGCTTAAAGTTTCAGAGGGTTAGTCCATGATTGTCATGGTGGGGAGCATGGCACCACACAGGCAGGCACTGTCCTGGAAAAAAAGCTGAGAACTACATCTTGATCCATAGGCAGCTAGTATAGAGAGAGAGAGAGAGAGAGAGAGAGAGAGAGAGAGAGACTGGGTCTGACCTGAACTTTGGAAACCTCAATGCCCACTCCCAGTGGCACAACTCCTCCAACAAGGCAATACCTCCTTCAGCAAGGCCACACCTCCTGATCCTTCCAAAACAATTTCCCCGAGGACTAAGTATCCAAACATATGAACCAATGGGGGCCATTCTCACCAAATCACAGGGCCCTAGGGCAGTTTAGCCTTGTTGCTAGAGAATTTTTTTCAGAAGATGCTGGTTGACTGGTAGATGCAATGGTGAGGCTATTTCAAGAAGCTCTTCTGATTATTATTATTAATTTTAAACAGGAAGTAGGAAGTAGGTAATCTAGCACAGGGAATGTGTTGGATTTTGAGGAGAAAAGTGTGAATTTTCTCGTGTGTGTGGGGGGATAGTCATTTGACTGGGAAAAGTAGCATCTTTGCTCGGTGGCACTCAAGTTCTGCCCAGGTTTGCAATAGTTACAATGTTAGCATGCTGGTTTGTTTCCTCCAGACACTCGCACTTGCACAAAAGCAGACCTGTAAGAGGTGGGAAAATTTGTTTTCTCAGGGTAGGAAGGAAGATGGAGGGAAGAGTTTGATTGAGAACACATGTGAAAGTGTGACTACAGGAAGGAGCTACGAAAAGATGGAGAGTGTGAGAAAGGGCAGAGGATAGGGAAATAGGAAGAACCTGGTGAAGACCAGGAGATATGAATGCTAGGGAGGATGAGAAAAGATGGCAGGAGGTAGGAAAGTGGGCTGCTGAAATCGACACCACAGAGAACACAGTTATTGGTTATTGGGGTCATGGATACTATCCTGGAAATGGTTGTCCTCATTAGCTTTCTGTTATTGTTACAGTCACTCCAGATCTTTCCTTTATGTGGAGGAATTATGTGGACATAATGGCTTTTGCCTCTTGCTTTTCAGCTTATGAAGCAATATGGTACATGGTTGGAGCGAACCAGCTCCACAGCATGGCAGCCAGAGAGAAGAAGATGGAAGAGAGGTTGGGGTCCTTATATATCCTTCAAGGATATAAAAGGCCTGAAATGGCTTATTTTGCTTCCATCATGCCTCACCTTCTGAAGGTTTCATTAGTTCTACTAGGATAGAGTTGGGGAGCAAACCTTCAAGGTGTGGCCCACAGGAAGACATTTTTTCAAACTGTCTCAGTGGCTGAGCTGGGTGTAAGAAAAGATCATTACAAATGAAGAACTGAGAGGCTACATAGGTATGGCAGGGATTAAAAATATGATTCCAAAACCACCATTGATTAGCAGCAGAGCCCACTGGATCAGTCTGTCTCCTCTACCAGGCCATTACAAGACCTCCTTGCTATCAGTTTGAAACATCAGAAGTATTTATTTGACAGTAACCAAGTGTTATGATCTGTTTTCATTACTGGATGATACATAATTAGAACTAGTATTCAGAAGCTATAATGGGTAACATACTTAATCCACTAAGAAGTGGATGAAGGTGGAAACACAGTGAGACCCTGTCTTATAAAAAAGAAAATCATAAAAGAGGAAAGATGAGCAAATACTACCCTAAATGTATTATAGAGAAATCGTAATAAATTGCAAGGCCAAATAGGCAAAGAGGATCTACAATATTCTCACAGCGTGAAGAAGCTGGGAAGGAGGAGTGTTTTTTTGTTGTTCAGAATCAGTTGAGACTAGTACTCGACATACATTAGTTGCTCCTTAAAGAATTTGTCGAGCACAGCAACAAATGCTGCAAAGAACGCACTTTTTTTTCTTTTTCTTTTCTTATCTTTTTTTTTTTTTTTTTTTTTTTGCCTTTTTTTCCCAGGGTTTTTTTTTTTACTTTTGGG